AATTAAACGAACGATACTCGCTTTTCTGGCAAAGATTGATTCCAATAAGCGGGCTAAAAAACACAACTGCATCGGACAAATTAATAGGGACTTTGGTGTTCTTTTCAGCGGTAGCTGTAATTATCGAGAGACGCAGAGCCAGCTTTTAATGCCTTATTTTATTACGAACAATTTGGCGCAGCATTTTATTCTCAACAATCTGATTCAATCGCACTACATTGAAGCTCGTTAAAAGTGCCGCGCTCTGGGACTGAGTATCATGGAGTGCTGATTGGCCAGCGATGAATGCATTGGCCAGAAGCAGCTGTGAATCCAGACCATTGGCTGTGAACAGCAGCAAATTGGGACGAATTATAGTGGATGCATTGGCCGTAACAATAATGATAATGCGGATTGATGACGGCAGTAGTGATGAATGTAGTATTTCATTTTACCCAAAATTAAATTTTTTACAATTTATTACGTTCTGTGGCAACCTAATCCACTATCCGACATCCAGTCATGGAATAGAAAAGCACCTGTTTTGAGTAAATTATCTCATGATCACCACCCACCTCCAGGCGCACTTTCTCTGTAACTCTGACACAGCAGCGCAAGTAACGCAGACTAATTTGGCAACACTCTGTCTGATGGCTCTCCCTTGCCTCCCCACCAGCGAGATCTCTCAAGTTACGTGGAATATCTCCATAAGCCTCCCTCAGGGCTCTGACAAGTCGATCTGAACCATTGAACCGGAAAGCGGCCGTCGAGGAAGAGCAACTTACGCAGCCTACAGCTCTTAGCGTGCCGGATGCGCTCACGTTTGTTGGTCCGTATGAGAAGAGCTGCCAGATCGTCGATATCTCGCCAACAACTTAAAGAATCATGAGCTTCGATCCAACTTAACTAATATAACATGAGACTAAGCGAAGGAAGGCAACCATGCGCTCGACCTAATGCCACATTGTTAAAAGTGTTCCTCGAGAATTCTGTAAAGATCGAGTTGCTACATGAATGAGCAAAACTTAGAATTTATCGTTAAATCTACCGTAGTGTCTACAAGTAGAACTTGTTTTATATAGTCTACCGTTGTTCTTGCTTGATCTACTGTTTTATTTTATATATTTTTTTATCTACTGTTTAATTTCTGATGTTCATATTTTATTTAATGAAAAATTCCATAAGTTTTTCATGTTTATCTATCTATATAGGTACTTGTAGATATTTTTGAGATCTACTGTCTACTCGCTCGCTGTGATGCTCCACCGCTGGGATCTTGCATGAATTGTCTCAGGTATTGACTAACAAATTAAAAAAATCGAGCGTCTTTTAGAACCAAATTTTCATTACGAATGAAAATGAGCAACAAAGGAGATCTTTCGCATCGTCACACCGTCGTGACCTCTAATTTCTCAAAGATAATTAAATTCATAATGAAATAAAAATCAAATACCATAATCATTTTTATTCCAAATGTCGATAAATAGAAAATTGCCGCTATAGGCCATCAGCCACAAGAGAAACGTCCACGGACAATAGCTGTTCAACATTACAACAAATAACATCTTAACAATAATTAACTACATACTTTGACATATGCCGTACTTAAGTTTGTTAAATCATTCAATTTACGCTTCACTCGTCATGAATTTATTTAAAACCTCAGGAAAGTTGAAATTATATGTTAGTCAGCTAACATGAAGTCAGAATTCAACCAAGTAAATAAATACTGTAATCAATATCAATATTTTAAATGGAATAAAACAACAATTGTGATTATCAATAGCTAAAAACAATAAATTGAATTGAAGTTAACAGTTAATCCCAATACCTAAACATAAGAAGTAATGCGTTTAGATATTACATGAATAAAACTTCTAGAAGACTACGACGGAAAATTCATATAGAAGATAGAGCGCGACACAAACAAATGACAATCCTACCACAATGCCACGGTTTTACACTGATACTAACGCAAGTAAATAAATAACCACCCCAGTAAATAAAAAATATATTGAAATGCGTGTGCGTGCATTTAAATGCTTCAACAGGTGGGTGGTAAGGCTCCTTACTTTAGAATAGAATAGAAGTGTCGGCACTGAAGAAATAGGCCCATGGCCTGTTGCCGGTTGTTGAACTTTTCGTGGCTTGATTCACAAGGGATCCGGCCTTTGGAACCCGATCTTTCCATAGCTGACGATTGATTGAGATAGCTGCTGGACTTATTGCCTGGTCCGTAATTTGCTAGGCATTTTAAGACTGAACATATGCTCCTGCATAGCTTCGTCTTGTCTGTTCTTGAAACTTGCGGGTGAGGAAGGCATAATTCGATAATTTAATTCTGGACGAGATTATCAAGCTGAAGTTAATAATAAACAATAATTATTTAAACGTATTAACCAATAATTGAAAGCGGATAACGAATTAGGTGAAGACAAGCAAATAACTTGAACTGAAGTGGGTCATGTATTGTTCAATTGTTCATAATTGTCGGCAGTGATTGACGAGTTAAGTAATACAAAATGAAGTGAAAGCAATGATTACCATTAGTTAATAACAATAAAAATAGAATAAAACTCACGCACGCCACAAAGTACCGCTAAATAGAACAAACCCCTTCATGGATATAAACATATTTTCATCAAACAAAAAAATCACATATATTCAGCTTTTGAAATTATCATCCGCTATAAAATTCCAATTAATTCATTAATTGTTTTAATAAGAATAGCATACGATGGCATGAAATGTATAATAAATGTGTCAGGCCTTGACCTTAGAACAAGGAGGCTCCACAGTCATCCGACGTCCGCGTCAGAGGTCCCTGAGGTCCACGGTCGCGTCAGAGGTCCCTGAGGTCCACGGTCATCCGACGTCCGCGTCAGAGGTCCCTGAGGTCCACGGTCATCCGACATCCGCGTCAGAGGTCCCTGAGGTCCACGGTCATCCGACGTTCGCGTCAGAGGTCCCTGAGGTCCACGGTTGTTCGGCGTCCGCGTCAGAGGTCCCTGAGGTCCACGGTCATCCGAGGTCCGCGTCAGAGGTCCCTGAGGTCCACGGTCATCCGACGTCCGCGTCAGAGGTCCCTGAGGTCCACGGGCGCGTCAGAGATCCCTGAGGTCCACGGGCGCCGGCACCACGACCGTCGCGCCGTCCACCGCCGGCGTCACGTACACCTGGCAGCCCAGCCGCGACCTGCCCAGACACGGCGTTAGGACAGCTAATCCAGAATGCGGTCTAGCCCACGGTAATATGGGACAAAATACATGATTACACGATTATAAACAATAAAGAGAAACACGCATTTAAACTATAGTAAAACTTGAACATTTCAACTAAAACTTGAGCATTTCAACTAAAACTTGAGCATTTCAACTATCAAGCGAGCCGCGATTACGAACTGCATAATAAGCCGATATTGTCCAAAGAATCCAAGTACCAACCAAGTTTTGAATAAGTCATTCCAGAATCCGGTGTGCATATTCTTCGTTGAAATTGATCAGCAGGCGCAAGAAAATCCAGGTTAATGTCAGATACTGTTCCTGAATACTAATAATACTCATGCTTTGCTACTTAGAAAATCAGAGGATAATTGCTCCAGTTCTCAATGGCCTCTATAAATAAAATAATTATCCTAATATCCTAATAAATAATAATGCCGAACTCAATGAAACTCATAAACGAAGGGTAAATTATTGAATTCTTTTGATAGCTTTAATGAAATTTCCGATCAAAAATTTTCCAATCTGTAAAGGTTAAGGTTGAGTCTCTCGTGTCGCAATTTTTTGTATTTGGTTACAGGAAAAACTTTGCAAAATACTGCACAAGAAACAGCGGAGCATCCACAGCGATTGTCTTATATATTGAATCTACAAATAGTACGTATACATGTTCGAAGCAAAAAATGTTAAGAATCCACAAAGAAGTTTGGAAAAATACACATGAAAAGTTTTACAAATATACACGAAACATTGGGTAAATCAATGACAAACATTGTAGAAATTTGTAAAACATTTTTTACAAATCCATGACGAAAATTATTTAAATCTTAGCAGACTATTAATAAGTACTAACCATTCCAGAATTGTCTAACCTCCTGCAAGTTATAATGAAATTATTCACGTAATGGCAAGACAAGACTTAGTTTTATCAGTTATCCTACAGTATAAACACTACAGAGACCAAGTTTCTCATGAACTTCCATTTTAACCTACGAGTCTAACCTGATAAAACAGTTAAGATTACCACATTTTTACTTAACATGCTATGCATTACATTAAACGGAGATGCATTAAACACGCGTAGCTTGTGCGATCGTTTCAATCGGGTTGAGTGTGGATACGAAATTGAGGTTTCATTCGACAACTCTAACAGCTGCTGACCAATTGAACATTACAGATACTATGAGCAGAACACCCATACGCTCGGTTTTACGCTATAATTTTATCCAGTCACGTCGCTGCTTACCTAAATTTGAAAATTTAATAATGCCAAAAATGGTCTGAAATGCGCCTTCACCAATCACTTTGTGGTTCAACTTCACTTATAAAACAGGAAATATGAGATTAAAATAAGACATCTATCACGAAGACGGAGGAACAACCGAGTAATAAACTAAGGATCTAGGTTGAAGACATTCATTTTTTAAACACAACACATACTGCAAACATATCTCATCCCGTTAACATGTTTCATACTGCTAACATATCTAATACAGTACACACATCTCGAGGCTGGGCGCAATCGTTCAACTTAGTCTGACCGTGCGCTGACCTGCTAGCAAATATAAAATCTACTCCGATGTTCACATGAAGCACACAAAAGACGTCGAACATACTAGTAAAAAAAAGAGACTGAACTGTCCGAACGAAGTTTTCTAATGGGGTTACTGTAGTAATACGCAGTGGTGGGCACAGTCCGCTAACCGCTAATTAGCGAAGCTGACGTTTTCCTTAGCCGGTGTGCCACACTGATGGCTGACTACGTCAACATATGTACGTCAACCAATCACGTCTTGTGTAACAAGAGACGTGATAGGTTACACAAGACGTGATTAGTTGACATACATATGTTGTAGTCAGCCATCACGGCTAAGGAAAGCGTCAGCTTCGCTAATTAGCAGTTAGCGAATTACCGGACCGTGCCCACCACTGGTAATACGGTATAGTTCTGTCCACTAATTTTACTCGTCAAAAAGCCGTAACTCTACGTGTTTCTCAGATAAAACGCAATACTTTGGTCAATGACTAGTGAATGTATTCTTAAGATTACCACTATTCCGATGCACTCGTGTTTCCAAGAAAAATTCAGCGTCTCTATAGCCCTGCCAGTAAAGCTGGTAGAGCTGTTCAGTTTTCAGTGGCATAACCGAGCGATAAAATCGCGTGAAATTCTCTTTGGATAGCAGAAGATCTGCCTTGGCGAACCTAACGTAACGGCCCCACCCAGCAGCATCTCTGGGACTTATGTCAGCTCGTCCAGCGAAAGGTGAGATACAAAGGCAAGGTGCAAAAGGCCTAGGCTGATTATTGGAGAATCCGCCATCAATGTACTGTACTCCTCGGAACAGAGGTATGTTTCCGCCGGAGAACGCAGGGATGTAAGAAGAACATACCAAGCAGTCGACCAACTCCTCAGTAGATTCCCAGCGAGAGACAATGATATTTTCCCCCGTCTTGGCGTTTGTGAGCGACACAAAGAATCTCCCAGAAAGTGACAAGTGCGCGTCGTTAGGCAGGTCCTGCATGGCATCACGTATGTATTTCTCCATAAGGAACTTGCGACTGAACGGTCCAATCACAAAACGAGTTGAGTCGTTAGCAGCCATCAGGAATGTCTGCCATAGTACGTCTAAAGAAGGGGATCCTGCCATGAGGGCGGCTCCAAGTAGAGCTCCTGCTGATGCTCCGGCCACTCTCCAGGCCTCTAAGCTTCCCGTAGTGGCAGCACGAGGCACACACTGCATGAAATAACTGGGTCACTTATTCATACAGTCTAAATTATTCAATCCATTAGCTTGCGCATACTCCTTTCTATGCATAAAGCATACACATCTGCACATGCCAACTTAAAGACGAAACAGAAAAAATCCAGGTAATGATAGCTTCCATTTACACTTTCATTTTTCAGCAGTTGAATGTTGTCCGTCAAAATTCTGCATTTTATTTTAACAATAAACCCATATCAGTAACGCATATAAAGCTCTTGACTAAAGTTTGATTTACCTCACCACGTGCAGTTTTCACCAAGGAAACTGAAGGTCCATACGAAGATTGAGCCACTTCAGGCGTCGCAGGCGCAGCGCCTTGAAAGTTTTCTATCCCGTAGAGTTGATCAGCCGAGGTCTGAAGAGTTGCACCTAAATGGCGATCTGGTATCCATGTTTTTCCTTTACCATGAAAGTGCTCGTATGAACTTCTATTCGGTGAATTAGCATTACCCTTAGAGGACATTCGCGCGTCAGGAGTTAATTTTGGAAGTGAATACTGGACGGTAGTATTTTTGGTGGCAGGGGACTTTAACTGCATTCCTTTTGAGACATCGGGACAAAAGTTTGCTTCTCTCAAGCAAGTGACCGCACCAAGAACATAGGGCGCAAGGAAGCCACATCCGGCCAGAGAGAGAGACGAGCCGCAGCTACAAGCACCACCAAAACCATGTGTAAGCAACTATGCCATCCAGCAACTGCCTAACGCATTACTTTCTGGAGTAAATCAAACCACACCTTACACCATAGAACAATGATTCACGATAAGCAATAGCAGCTACCGACAAACAAATTTTTTATACCGACAAATATGACAGAAATTACTGTAAACTTACAATACTAATGTAACCCAGTTTGGCATTGGGAGCATTCAAATAGGACGATATGTACATAGTGCCCATACAAAATGCTGCTTTATCTTAGGAACAAACCAGCAGCACACAACTTACGTGGCTTCAACATCAGATGCCATGTCCAGGAGGTCCTTCTCTTCTTCTGTGATGCCCTTGTTGACGGCATCAAAGGTGGCCTGGTCGAGTACGACGTGGCAGGTGGAGCAAGCAACCGTCCCGTCACACGCTCCTGCACAAATGCAGTCTTTATTACTTTGAACATAGATTGCTAATTACCGATTTTATAATACATTACAATTATTTAGACTAACAATTTCTTGTCAATTACTGTATTAGATATTTTTGGTGCATTGCTCACTGCTTGAGTTGCAACTGAAGAAAAATATTATTTTGTGACATTCATTGTTATTTCAATGTTACTCTTACTTCTATTTAAAAAAAATATGCGTTTAAAAATTACTTTTTAAAGACAACACTTCTGAACAATACAGTGTCTTGGATGTTATACATGTACAATGAATTTCTAATTTTATTTTCAAATATTAAAAAAAAAATTTTTCAACAATTTTTTAAGATATCAAAATTTTGTAAATTATCAAAATTATTTATTCTGTCAATTGATTCATGCATTGTCTCTGACTTTTTGTGCAAAATTTCAGATTAATTGGACAGGTCAAATTGTGTCATACATGGATTATAAGATTTGTAGCAGACGAAATTATTTTCTAATTCTTTTTAATAATGAAAATTTTTTTAATTTATAAAATTATTTATTCTGTCAATTGATTCATGCATTGTCTCCAACTTTACGCAAGTGTGCCAAAATTCAGATCGATTGGACAGGTAGAAGTGTGTTAAATATTGATTATAAGATTTGTAGCAGACAGACAGACAGACACACAGACAATGAGACAAACAAACAAGAAGTGAAGTTAAAGAGAAGTGTTGTAAAAACTAATGCATTTTTCATGTATAAATAAAGATTTTTTCTGAAAGAAAAAAATACAAAATTATCTTGAAGCTCAGATTCTCCTTTAAAGCAAATGGTTCATGATGCAAAGTGTTGAGATATTCCAACAACAAGGTTGACATTGCTCACCATAGCCATCAATCTGGTAGTTGTTGTTGTTGACAATATCAAGCAGCGAGTCCCCTTCGGAGCCTGCTAAAGTGACTGTATCATTCTCTGTCTTGAAGCTGATCTTAATCCTGTAACAAGTAATGTATGTTAAAGCTGGTGAAGGCACATGTTAATTAATCAATCATTCTCAGTTTACAATAATCAGATGTTTTCATAACAGACCTTACAAATTTCTCCTAAAATTTGGTACCGTTACCTAATATGATAACTTGCTCTTTTTAACAATAACACTAAATGAATTCATAGGAGGATCTTCCTAAGAGCCGTAAAAACAGTAATTAATTCAAGTTTTGTTTGCTATTAATGATCTCGGAGATTAACTGCAGAAAAATAAACTGAATTTAAACAAATTTCCTAATTGTGTAAATAGAAATATTTATCCAAACAGCTAAATGAATACAATAGAAATTAGCTCCATAAGTAGTCTTTAAATCATCAAAAGTTTCTCTGCAGAATATTCTACAAGCTATATATATACAGATATATTTTTTCAACAGATTAAACCATTAAGCATCAAGCTCTAACAGAACAGAAAGGAAGCTCTCACTTGTCTGTAAGATTAAAAACTGATGTGTGAAATCTATTAGTCCTTCCAGCATGAACTGCGCATCTGCTCAGTCCAGTGAAGAATTGTAGCTCTCCTTTTGTTGATGAATTCAAGAGGTTTGAGGACAAATTTCTGGCAGTTGAGTAAAATTTATTGCACTCTTGACGCCTTAACTGAAATATTATTTTTGAATGCTGGTAAATGTTTGAATGTCTTAACTTTTGACAATAGATAGGATAACGTAATGACATAGCCATGGCAGCTGAAAACTCTGGGGACAAATACATAAATAAAATGTAAATAACACGGAATATTCATTCACAATTATATCAAAGTTACACAGCATTAATTAACACATTACAATGGCTCAGCTACTGAGCAATGATGCACAGATAAGCATGGTTGAATTTTAGAAAAAGAAGTTCCTTTTAATCTGCCAGAGGCCTTATGCCATCCACCTGTGAATATATAGTCTGATGAATGGGGGTGAGGATTGATTTTAGGAAAAGTAAAATTATAGGAAAGAGTTGATTGCATAGTTTCAGCAGAGGCATTATGCTATATGCACTCTACCTGCATACTAACTGTTGATCAAGGTTGGTTGGTTTGGGAAGAATAACTGGATTTATGACACATTTTCAATCATGCAACCATTGTATAGTTCTTTAGAAAGTTGGGTCTCACCCAGACAGTAAAGCATGGAAGAATGAAGGTTAATGACACCAAGATTTGATAGAAGCAAACAGCAGTTGCCTATTAGGCTATTATGCATCTTCAATCTAGAGATAGCAATTTACTATTAAAATGGGATTATTTGACTTTGCCCAGTGAACAACAACAATATATGTACATTATAACTGCTATGGGTAATAGAAACTAATTGAAACACAATACACATGGCAGATGTTACTCTGCAAGGTGTTAATGATCAATCAAATTCTCAGACATAAAATCAATTCCAGGACGTGGACAGTCACTTAGGTCCACCACAACCAACGGAACGGAGCACTCAACACTTGACAACAGGAGGTGGTGCAATTTGAAGCATCTACAGCACTAGTAAATGGAGAGGAAATGATGGTGATTTGGGTGCTGGAGCGCAGTTATGCAGTTGGCCAGGGAGAGTGAGGGAGTCAGCTCCTTTTCCAAGGCATGTGCTCCTACAGTCCTACTTTGGAAGTTTGGTTGGGGCGCTCCTCAATTACATAGGTAGCTGGTCATTAAGAAGGCATTTAAAATGCCACAATTTATTCCTCCAATATGCAAAATTTTTAAAAATACATATGTATGAATAAATACTTTGTGAAATGCTTCTTACTTTCTTTAACAGGTTTCTTAAATTTTAATCAATAATTACTGAATATTTCAATGCTTGCCTGTCAAAGGGTTAATAAGATTCGAATTCGTCTTTATTGTTATTAGAAATGAGGACTTGGGTGTCATTGAAAAAATTAGAAATTTACTAGCAGTGAGCCAGTGATCAACACTCGTATAAAATTATTTTAAATTTATAATTTGCTAGATAAAATAATGTTGATAATTTTCATGAATATGATGCAAAAATTAATGATGGGTTTAAAATGTAAAAATAAAATCATTTAAAATTGTTTTACAATTTATAGGAACAGTACCTGGATTAGTAAACATGACAATAGATCATTAGAATTAGATGACATGAGGTTTTGTAATTTTAATGCACAACATTCACTGTAGTTACATTAATAATCAATCGTTCATAGAACAATTCCATTCCATTAGTTGTCAGTTGTCACTTGATTCCAAATTAAATGACAATACCTAAATTGATTTTGAGGGTAAGTTATGAATGAATTATGAATATGCTTGTATCCTTGTAAGTTGTAATGTTGTGAAAGCTAGGTACTGGATAACTGGCGAGTGGTGACTGGGAGTCTGGGACTTTCTGTTTCTGGGAGACTGAGTGGGAGTGATGACTGGGGACTCAGTGGGGAGTGATGAGTGATGACATCCACATTCAGCATTCTGCAGTCTAGGTAGGCTACCTACACACACCACACTGACCACAGCACCAGCCACACCAGTAACTAGCCTAAGTAAGCCGCAAAGCAAACATGAATCATCAATCAAGAAGCATGGCCAAATTGGCCATGGCCTGCATGGATAATATCAATTTTAAAGCTACAAGTAAATTTTAGAGATTAAAATCATGACATTAATTTTTAGCCACTTGTCAAAATTCAAAGAATAAAATTTACATTGGAATAGCACATTCTACATAAATAACAATAGAATAGTGTCATTGTAGATTTTGTAGTTACTATAGTCAGTACTCAGTAGGCCTACAGCCCGCCCTACTCAGGTCTCAGTCTCTCAGACAGTAGTCTGTAGTACTAGTAGTGATAGTAAAAATAATAAAAGAAATCACCAAGATCTGATGTAGCGCACTGTCCACTTGGGCCTAAAATCCTAGACTGGCTCCACTCTCCAGCAATAAGTCACTAGACTGACTACTCAGTGACTGGTCAGTATTCACGAAGTCACGAGTCACAGAGACAGACTGTCGCTGTCTCCTGTCTGTGTCAGCTGTCGGCAGAGAGAGATCACCGATAACGTTGACTCCGCTCCTTTCGCAATCCGGCAGTAAATAAGATGCAAAGCAATTCGGCCCATTAATTCTATTGTGCTAGCTCAACAATGCCTTTGTCTACATAAACACATTGATTATCTTATCATCCATCAATATAAGTTCTAACGTCCGAAAAACGTGATTGGATGCTCAAAATTTTACGAAACCTGCAACGTAGTAGTAATATTATAGGTAGTCTACACTTTATCAAGTTTAAAAATTCTAGGTTATTGATTCTGGAACGTCAAGTTTGAAGTTTCCATTAAATTTTTCAACACATTCAAGCAAAGTCACTACATCGAGACCAATGAGCTTTTATAAGTGCCAAGTCGATGAGAGGCCAACATCATCACATGGCATAAAAAGCTCCCAGGACAATGTTACATTAGACTGACTAGCGTAGACGTAGAGGAGAAGAGACGTAAAAATGGGTATTTCTATTGTATAATGTTTTTTTTATTCGGTAGCGGAAGCGACTATACAATGTCATGACTTCGCAATCGACAGAGCTAAAAGATTTGGATTATAGTGGAATGTTTTTAATTTCGCAAATAGAATAGTGTGTTACTGTTCTCTAGGAGACAATTAAAGAACATTACAAGAATCTGCAACAGGATAAACTATGCCAGCCAATTTCAACACCGATCCTTCTGAGACTATCTCCTTTTGACCAAATCTATCCAAAACTGACGTTGAAGCTGATCATCTGCCTGTTTTTTCGAAACATTTCCAAACAACATTCCTCAACAGTCTACACTCTAATCTTGTCTGTTCCTGAATTTAATAATACTCGGAGCATCAAATCTTTCGGAGTCGGTTCCACATGTCAGTGACTCGAAGAGAGAAGAAGTGTTTTAAATGGATGAGTTGCATGTCAGTTTTTTCCCTCTAATAATTTGCATAGTTCCGATCTAAGCAAGACGCAAATTTTTGTAGTCTTATAAAAGCCTTACACACTTCTAAAGGTAGCCGTTGGTCCCACCTTTGACGGAAGCGGCGAAAAAATATTGTCCAATGACTTTTTTACTCGGCGACTCCTGCGTGCTTTACCTATAATGCTTAAGTGTCAATCAAGTCTGTTCGTGACAGCGTTCAAGGTTGGTGCATTGTCGACAGAGGTGGGCAGTAGCGCGCTACATGTAGCAGTAGCGGCGCTACATTTAGTAAGCAATTGTAGCGGTAGCGCCCGCTACTTATTTAAGTAGCGATACGATCGAAGTTTTGCCGCTACAGCGCTACCGCTACATATATAGATAAAGCCTTTAGATTTTACTTTTAATAGTACTTTTTAGATTTTACTTTTATTAATTTTTAGATTACTAGATTTTACTTGATAGATTTTACGAATCTAAACTGAGAGAAGTAAGGCAGGAAATAATCTCTCTGGTTGATGGGAAGCTTTCTGACACAATTGCAAAAGCTACCAGCAGCAGCAGCAGCAGCGATGACGAGGAGAATGCTGATTCGTTCTTTAATTAACTCCAGAAAACACGAAATCACAGTCACGTCAATGAAGGAGATCGACTAGTGAACAATGAGACTCATACCTTGGTTTACTAGTTTAAAACTAAAAGGGCAGGGTGGCCCAGTGGTTACAGTTCAGAGTACCAAGATTGGAGCAGAAAGGCGCGGGTTCGATCCCAGTTCTGTGCGTCAGTTTCTGGTCATAATCGACGAGGAGGCCGGGCGGTTAAGCACAGCAGAATTGTAGCAGTGAGTTGCGAGTTCGAAACCGCAAATTGCTATGAATGTTCTGCGATGTTAAGAATCAACGACAGGCCTACGGCCTAATAAACGCTGAAACCGCTTGTGGAGGGTTTTCTCATGTACGCTTAATATAAAATTTTAGATTCGTCCTATTCTCGAGCACGCCAGTTTACTAAAGCGTTGCGATTGGCATAGGCCATCATTAGACGATGAAAGCGATTACCAGTTTGACTAACCGAGCTTACCTCAATAATTTGGTAAGTAGCCGCTATACCCGAGGCTGTTGTACCTGACTTGTTTGTACAATTATTGTGTATATACGTATGTTTTATATTTCGTTTAGTTTTAATAAATGTTTCGACTTCGCCAGAAACCGTCGGCAAACTACGCGTGTCAAATTATTCTACCCTAAGAAGATTCTCGATACGAGGTTCTTCACACCACTATTATTAAAACGCTATCAATCTTCTCAGTATCCAGTATAAAAACGTTCTCGTTTCGGCAATGGCACTGGTAGTACCTGTTGGTCCTTATAAGTTCACCACAAATTTGCTTGTCACTGTTGTCAGTTACACTTGGTAGCATCAAGACTCCAGCATCTCAGAATCGTTTTCTCGCCATGAAACGGGAAAAAGAGACGAGACAAGAAATGAACAGGAAAAATATCAAGGCAATAGAGAAAACTGTCCCAGAGTAAAATTATCACGGAGTTACAGTTAGAGGACAAGGATTGGAGGAGCGAATTGTGGGTTTGAAATCAACTTCTCTTGGAAGTCTTGGTTGAAATTTGCAAGGTGACCGTATGGTTGAGAACAGCCAAATTGGCGCAGTGAGTTACGAGGTTGGAGTCCCAGCAAGCTGTAGCAAGAATCCTGCAATGCCTCGCATCGGCGGCGACGCGACAGATTTTGCTAGTAAAAAATTCCTTTCTCAAAATTAAAAGTAAGGATCATTTGTTAGTGTCGTTGTTTCCATTACAATTTACAATTTTTTAAAAATTTTTTTTACAATTTACAATTTTTTACAATTTGAATTGTAAGTTTCCAATTATGTCCGGACTCAAAACTCAAATTCATAGTAATGTTTTCCTTCCAGAAGCTGCTCGTGTGCGACACCTATAAGTATGTGATCACTTAAGTCGTTCTCCACAGCACCGATTCAATGAGTTCCATAGCTGTCTTTTTCTTAGTCAGGGTGACCAGAGTCCAGACTGTCTCGCAGAACTCGAGGTGCGTTTTGACGTGCGCCACGAACAACATCTTCCTTCTCCCGGCTTCTGAAAAATCATGGCCTATTGGAGTTCAACCGCTAAGCAGAAAAAGTTGATGGAAGTAAGAGAAAGAAATCTTGAATTTTCATGTTGAAAAAATTTCCGAGCATTGCCGTATAACATTTCACGTCAATGTGCGAGTCCTTAAATATGAATGCATTATCATTATATGGGTTTGAAGCCATTCGCTAAATTTGCCTTCAACGCCGTCCGACAAGCTCTCTAAATTTCAGGAAAAGGTTGTGTGAATAACGAGATAATTTAAACCAAAAATTAAATGGGATCATTATCAATTATTTTTCACACGCATGCTGCATTTTTAAATACTTTGGTTCCAGTATTATCGTCGAGGTAAATTAATTAAAGGGAACATTGCTGCATGTCGCGGGATAACCTCATCCGCCGCGGTACGCGTCTGCGCGAGAGAAAATTTTGCATCACGCCTTCAGTTCGGCATCCGTGCCGACTCCGTAGCCCTCCTTAGCTGCACTGCAGGTTTGGCTGCCGTGGAGTGAGGGTCGCTGGCGCGTCTGTCCCGTGTGTGTAGGTCACTGGTAGCTGTGCCAGCTGACGCTGTGTTTATGCTTCTAGGGCGACAACAGATTTTAATACCAAGCTGTGATGTGTCAATTCATTGTTTAATTTCAATTTAACATATAAAGTCACACATAATTTAATTTAATAATGTTTTTTTTTTGCTCAAGTCTGTAGAGTAAAACATTTATAAATTTGCAATCATCATTAAAAAATTTCACACATATAATTTTTCACAGATTTTGAAGACACAGTTCACGAGCAAGTGCTTTCACCGAGGAGCCAAATGTAGGAGAGGCAACAGATGCCGCAATATTCGTCCATAAATTATAAACACTGCAGCTTACAGCCGTAACCGATTTTTACTTGCAAGTGAATAACAAGGACAAATTGATTGAAAATTTAGCGTTAAATAGTGGATTATTTGAAAAATATCAAAGAAATAAACGTTGGAAAGAACTGTGACGTCCTAATCTTCCATACTACCCTAAAAACACGAAGGTATGTCTATATTCTAGTTTATTGATAATAAATAGATTAAAATAACATAGTTTACATTTCCACAGAAAAAAAAACAGATTGATGTGAAACTTATTTATCTTACAGGGAAGTGATTGATCATTTTTTTAGCTTCGAACTTCATCAAGCCGCCGTATTGCCGAAGCCAGCGGCACTCAAAATCAAATCTGCCTATCGTTCGGAGCGACAAAATACAAGTACGCAAAAAATAATCGAGAAGTGGCCAGTGATCGTCAGTTATTAGATGAAATGTCATGACCATTTAATTCTCTATGTTGAATATTGCATATATTCTATCTTCATACATGAGGTGTCATATACATACCTAGTGTCATTAGGTGTCATATTATCGCGCACTAAACAAGAGTCCCGAACCTGTTCCTAGAAGACGCTGGCATAAACGAAAGTCGTGCTTTTTCTAATGATCAACTCGTCTCCTTTACTGGTCAACTTTCTCCCTCATAATACTTCTTGTCGTCTCGCTGGTCTCGTGAAAACTTTCTTCGAAAATTGATAATTTCTGCCTCATGGATTGCAATTTGAGGTAATTACGGATATACTATACGTATGGACCAAAATATGAAAAATTAAATTTGTATGCACATGGCAACAGGTTCGAAAAAAAACATAATCAGAATATTACAATGCTCATTGTAGGTGCAGATTCTTGTAATGTTCTTTAATTGTCTCCTAGAGATCTGAGAGGACTTTCTAATAACAATTTACTATAATCCAACTGTAAAACTGTAAAAAAGATTATATTCTAAACATTAGATTTTATTAGGTCGAATTTTTTAAACTAAAAAAAGTTTATAGGGAACACGAGAACCCTATTGAAGGAAAAATATAACTCAGTACTCACTGCAGTGAGTGACAGAGAGCGCATTTTCTCGTCGACGAAAACTTGAGGTCACGGACAGACAGACGGACGGACGGACACGGCGAGCACAATAGTGCATTTTTTCCATAAATGAGAAAATGCGCTAAAAATGAAGTAATCATTCAATCCTGTTTCTCAATAGTTTCGTTGTCCTGAACCCTGCTCAGACAGCTGCCATTTCTTTTGAGATGAAATTCATTTACAAGGAAAACTTGGTTCTTTTGCACTCCGTACGCGCCGGTGTTATATAGCAGGCAATGTTGACGTTGCTTTGATAATATCTGAGAATTTAAAATATTTTCGTCTCAGAAAAAGTCTGAAACTTGATTAAGGAATGTCACGTAACTAAAAATGCTCTTTGATATATGTTTAACAAAAATGAACCTAGTCAACATTTTTGAACATTTTTTCCTCGTTAAATTAATTTTATAAACATTAGAAATTGATTAGAACTTCGAATAGAGAAATTGTTACACCGGTTTTCAGTGCCTTGAGATTTTAACACAACAATTTATGTGTCATATCGAGTTAATATTCCCGTATGTAAAGTGATGTAAACGTTCGAAACGTCCTGAATATTCCAGTGCCGAGCATCGAAAGGACTCTTCTATGTAAAAAGTATTTTAAATCTTTTGAATCTACATGCATGGTAGCTCGTATACATGGTAACTACCATACATGCATGATGATGCATGGTAGCTCAGATAGTTACGGTCGGTCATCAGCGAGATGAATGAAGCTGAGGAGTGTTGACGGTATGACTAAGGTGAATATATGAACACGAATGAATTAATAATAGTAAGTGGACATGAACAGAAATAGGTTACGAATTTGACTAATCAGGCCTAATCAAGGATTAGGGCAAGATGAACGAAACTGTTGAGGTTGGCGGTAAAATTAATGGGAATGTGAATGCATGGAGCGAGCAAAATTAATGTGACTTTTTAGGGTGAGTGTGAAATTAATGGCACCGTGAAGGGTTAATGAGAATGAAAGGGCCATGAACAGTACAGGCAATGTTTGATGGGACTGTAAAGATTAAAGGTCTTCTCATTTTAAGAAGCCGCATTAAACACTTGCCCTTGTTTCATCAGGTCCGAGGGTAGGGGCGTGGTTAATGAAGCTTGAGTATAAATGGTCATCTAATGAGATCATTACTAAATTATTCCCATCTAGTAATCACAGTTCTTCCGATTGCGTCATTGTGAAAATGTGTAGATTAAATTATAAAACAAATTATAGTAAAAGATAGTAAGAGACACTACAATGAAAGTTAATGGTGGTTTGGCGGGAAGGAATGAACTGAATGAAAGTCAATATGCATTCTCAATATCTAAATGCCATGACCGCAGGCAAAAGTACTTATCTCCAGCAAGCGCATCGGAACATCACTTTCTTCATGCTGGCTTTCCAGCACCGGGGCGTAGACCTGTCGACTCGCTTTGCCCCTCGGGACGCAGTGAGAGCGGACGCTGCCGATCGCAACCTCAAATGTATCCATGGACTTCGCTAGACCAGAGGCATTATTATCGAAAATAATAACGAGTTTGTAACTCTGTCGGCCAATCACTGACAGCTTTTTAAGCTAAATTAATCCATAACCGACGTGAAACCGGCCGCTACGTTTACCTAGAAAGCTATATGCACTTGAGCGAGTTTTAATAGTATACGGTGCCTGATGTACATATAGGGGTATGTGGTGCAGGCTGGGCTGATGCTGGGCCCCGGATGATTTATGCTCTATTTTTTTCAATGAAACAGCTGTGGTAGCTTGCAGAGACTTGTCAGTGATGATGAAGGACTGAAAGTGTAGGTATATGCTGGGCTTTCCAGGTTTTTAGGTCATGCTTTCCGAATTGCTTTGTTTATCAGTTAATATTTTACCCCTCTGGAATTCCACACTGATTGTGGTGAAATATATGACATTACATTCAGTACATATATTAGACAGGTATCCGATTTACATGCAATCAGAAAAATGATTGAATCATATAGTCTAAATTTGACACATTTTACCCGCAGCACGAGCAGAGAGCGAACGAAGCGCTGATTCGCCCTTTTGCCGGGCCAAACTGGGTCAGGATGAATCACACAAAGGGGAAAAGTTCACCGCTATTTGAACAAAGTCTCACTCATTTCTATGAGTGTGGCATAGCGTCATTACAATTGTGGATGTCAACAGACATTCTGTGTTTTGACGAATGGCTGAAGTTGTGCATAGGTATTCCATTTGTACGTGGGCACTCCGCTTCCGAAATCAATAAACTCAAATTTTAAACTTCATAATATTTTTTCAACATAATAATATATTTTCCTATTTTGAGGTACGCTAACAGTGAAATATTGCAGCATCTTTCGTGTCTCTGATTGATTCTGAATAAGGTTGTCATGACTCAAAAACAATCATTAGAATTCATTTACATTCAATTCAGCTGAATATCTGCGCTGATTTTGCTTGTATATTATGAAATAAAAACATAACTCAGTACTCACTGCAGTGAGTGACCGAGAGCGCATTTTCTCGTCGACGAAAATGTGAAGTCACGGACGGACGGACAGACGGACGGACAGACAGACGGACGGACATGACGAGCACAATAGGGCATTTCTTCCATAAATGAGAAAATACGCTAAAAACAAATTACTGTGGACATGCCTAGATATATTTAATCAATTGCAAGGCAGCAAATTATATGCTCCCATTGAACTTGTCACGCATGACGACGAGCACGAGAGTGCCGCAAAATTATGAAGCACGACGCGTGTCTAACTTGCAGCTCCGCCCTCTCGTTATTTCATCTTTACTCACGAACTATACGGCAAGCGTTGCCGACTTGCCTGCGCCGTGAACGTAGGGATAAGAGAAACTGCGAGGTGATGCTGGGATAAGATTCTGCCATCAAGATAAAAATGCATGAATAAATGAAGAAATTCATTAATTGTACAGAATATTTGGAAATAGGGTGCAGTGGGACATGAAGGACAAGTTGAATGAAACACGGCAAACATTCTGCATTTCACAAGGTAGTATTTAAGTACAGTTTATGGAAGTAATAGAACACAGGTTAACGCACATTGGTAATACACACTAGCACATTGGTTAACGCGACAGAGAGAAAGAAAGAGAGGTGTTGTGCAGATTAATATACACGACTGTGAAATAATTAACGAATATTATGGTATATCCACCTGACCAGATGTAAAACATGCTCTTACGCGCTTGACATTGTATAAAAAATATTTCACGCCAATTTGTAGCCTGTGGGCAAAAAATGCTATGGAATATTTTCCAATAAATCATCGAAGATCGTTTTTCATTCAACAAGCGAAAGATTCTCTTTAAGTTTAAAAACAAGTTTTTAATCAGTAGACTGACGAGTTAACTGAAGACACAAAATGAGATCAGTTGTACAATTAAAGTTCGTTACAGTGCACGCCACATCGCGCCTAGCACGCTAATCAGGAAACAGGTGGAACACCTCAGCGATACCGGCCTGCTTTCCCTTTAAGGGAGAACAGGTTAATAAGGCTGCAAAAACAGGTTAATGAAGCTGCTTGAAACAGGTCAATTAAGGCGTGGACATGAGGCTGCTTGGAACAGGTTAATGAGGCTACTTGAAACTGATCAAGGCTAGGTATTGCTGCTCGAAACCGGTTAATTAAGTCTACTGTGAACATGTCCGTGAGGATACGTGAAACGGGACAAGGCGAGGTCATTAGCCTGCTAGGAACAATTGTTAATAAGGCTACTTGAAACAGGTTAAGGCGGGGAAAAGAGCCTGCTCGGGTCGAGTTAATGAGTCTACTTGAAACAAATCGAGGCGGGGATTAAATGCTCCTCGAAACCTGTTAATTAAATTAAGTCTACTATGAACATGAAAGTAAGGCTACTGAAATAGGTTAAAGTGGGAGCATAAGGCTGCTAAGGATAGGATAACGTCCGCAGCAGTAACTGCACAAGAGTTTACTGTTGTCTGGCTACTGTTGCCTTTGCATAGTCATCGAGTCGTAAAATTTATAAAAAAACGACGCTCTTCTGTAATTTAGGCGGAATTTTGGAAACATTATAATCTCTAAAGTAAGAAGTTCAATACACGAAAAGAAAGTAAAAATGCCGGCGTGGAACAAACAGATTAAAGTTCAAGTACTTTTAATATTTTGGATACCATTTATTTAATATTTTTATCATTTAAATCCTTCTATGTGGATTCATATCCGAGAATTTTCTATTTCTTCTAAATCTGATAACTCCCTGCATTGGAAAAAGTCGGTAAGAGGAGCAAAAAATATTAATTGTCTCTTACAAAATAAACTAAAATGATAAAATCTCTGCACAGTAACGTCCGCAATTACTTTCTCCTTGACTTTCGCAAGAAAGTTCTATATTAGAGCTGGTAATGAGCGAAGAATGAACATTCTAAAATAGTCGTAATCAAATTCGAGTGACGAGCGAGCAATAAAAGTTACGAAAATATCTCCTGAGGATCTCATGAAAGGGAATAGTAAAAAATTGTTACTTTTTGTCCCCTTTGTAACGATACAGGAATCAACACACATCTTCGATTATTAGATATTTTTTAGAACATATTATTAAAATGAGGCTCTAAATTCAAGATACATTACCTACAGTATATGTTACATATTGTGGTTTATACCTCTTATATATTCACCTATGCTCTTTCACGAACGCTTCGTCAAAACCAGTTCTGTTTTTTGTCCTGAAAACAAAAATTCAAAGTTTGTTTTTCTCGGTCTCAACGATCAAAAAGTTGGCCCGCGTGCCGCCTCGCCAGAACGGATATGATTTCTAAGCGAGAACTGAGCACTTTCTTACGTGCATTTTATGGCCCACACGCCAATTCTGCAGAACTATAAAATACTTTTAAGTTAGCTCCGACTTGTAATTGTTTTTCCCTTCTTTTTCATTCGTATTCATTAATTATTCAATGTTTTCTCGATAACAAAATAGAAATTGTTTGCTGTCCTTCAATCAGCACGAGGAAATTTCAATCTCAAACTGCCGGTTAATTATATATATTGATGGAAATTTTTTGTCTGAAACTTCCGGTTTAGTGCATTTATTGATGGAATTTTCACATTATTTTCCAGATGTCGAGCCGACCTACAAGTGCCGTGTTCTTGATGACTCTCCTGGCCTGCGCTGTCACGGTCGTGTCGTCCAGGGAAGCAGCCACGACATCAGCTGGGAGACCAAGCGTCGTGGGGGATGAAAATGAAAGTTTGTACCCGCGTCGCTTCAACCAAAAAAGCGGAGAGTTGATTATAGACGCGAGCGCTGCTTCTGAAGACGATAGCGCGAGATCTGATACTCCGAATTATTTGAATGTCACCAAAAAATCATACTTTCGCAGAGAAGTTTCGAGACATGATAAGAACAATCCAATAAATCCCATTAAGAATAGCAACTATTTTTCCTCAAAGGACGAGAAAATACCAAAAGAAATTACAGTTTCGCATTCACAAGTTCCTCGTCATCAACCTACTGCGCTATCCAAGTCTCCAGTGCAGAACGTGAAAGCAGTTCGGGTTTCAAACTCTTCAAAGAAAATTCTGAGGATAAGACGACGGCCGAGGCTGTTGAAAAACAACCCTCAAAACTCAGATCAGAACGACCAAATTACTCAGGAATTCATGAAATCTCCAAATGCTGACGATGTTCACAATGTAGAGCCTCGTAAAAGAAGGCGAATCAAAAAGACAAAATCAGGCTCAAGAAATCCACGACTTGTCGAACCCAGTGACGAAGACATCACACACACGCGTGTTGCTCCCACTCGCGTGGGTCGGAGAAGAAAATTGCGGAAAAATTCATTGTTACGACAGTTCAAAAATTCAAATCGACATTCATCGCCTGATGGTAGCCAGGAACGAAAATTAAAAATGTTTAATTACCGAGTACCCTGCTTTGCTAACGGAAACGACCAACTGGCGGTTGGGACGGCGACGACATTGAAAGCTAGACAAAGATACAATTACCCTGTCAGGCCAGATGCTCTCTACCCATCTCGGGAAGTCAACTCAGAGCGCCTGATTACCGAATCAGTGATAACACAAACCAATCCTAAGGACACTCAAATAAAATATAATATTGCTCGAAATGTGCTGTCGTCAAATCTCGAAGGAACACAGGACGAAATTCAAATCGGAGAAGACCCAATCCGCGAACAAGTGAATAGCGGGTTCCAGGGAGGACCGAAAATTCATTTGCGGACAGTCGAGCAAGTTCAAGGAAGTGACCCTAGAACACCCGTTTACTATCCAAAATCCTTCAGAAAAATGCGAGCTTCTGCAGGAGGAAGATTAAAAACAAGAAAAAGAAACTATGATCCTAAACCTAATGATCACAGAAACGATCTTAAGCTATCAGAAGTAAAGAACAACACCGTCGGAAATCATTTGTCTGACGACGTCGAAACCAAGTTCCAAGAACCGAACGATACAGAGGATGAGGAAGCGTCGGTTCAACCTCCGCTTCCAAAACGTGCTAAGAAAATGATTGATCACGTGAGACAACATTCGCCGAGAAGTGCTGATCGAGCTCCTATATTTCAAGACAAGAGAACTCACCCTCTGGAGATCCAATACTATGACGCCCTTGAAGACGAGATTAGAAAATCTTCATTCCTAACAGAATCTGTGAGATTAGTTTCATCAGATACTTTCAGAGATCTCGTGAAGTCAAACAGGACAAAGAAAGTATCTACAGATAAGCAAGTTAAAAGTGAACAAAAGCTACCAATCTTGGTTAAAAATAATTTAAAGCCTAATAAGCCAGAAATTCATATCTTACAAAGTCAGAATATTGTCTTTGAGAATCCTTTCTCTGACGAAGTATCTAAGACAACCACATCAGATACGAATGAAAAATCCTTTAATGAAGCCAAGAAGTGGCAAGACTACTATATGAACTTGAGAAATCAAGCGAAACATGTGGGTGGCGACGACAGTTTAAAAGCACAAGATGATTATCACAGTTTCGGCAATCCTTCAGTTTCCAAAGACTACTACCACAATTGGGACAGTATACCGAGATATCGTCTTCAACCTTCCACCAAAACGAACCCGAATTTATTAGCAGATCCTGAGCTTGACGCAAAAAATCCTCCAAGTCGAACGAATTCTGAAAATAATCTAAATTCTAACTTTCAGATACAAACTGTGTTTTCTGATCCAAGTTCTAACGAAGATCATCAAGGACAAGGACCCATTACTAGCGTGCCTATCCATTTTGTTCGAGTGCATCAAGCGCAGCATGGAAAACTCAACGAGGTTGACCACGAACATAGATTGCATGGTGTATACCGAAGCCCCGGCAGAAGAAACGAAGGAAATTATGCTGGAAATGTAAGAGATTCAAATTATCCCGAAAAAATTAATGTTAATGTAAATAGCTTGGACAATACTAAGAAAAATCCTATACATTTTGATAAATACGTCAAGTTAACACATTCATCCCGTGATAGAAGTAGAATATATCACGATTATCCAGATTTATTTTATGAATATTTAACAGCCAGTGTTTATGGTGACAATAAGTCCCATGAGATTGGAAGCACACATGCAATCACATCCCCGCTGAGAGTAAAAAACCCCAACATTATTCGCCCGACGACGAAAACGATACCTTTAGCTCCAATGCCTTCGATAGATGAACTGTATAACTTCAAGGAAAACGACAGACCTGCTCCAGATTCTGCACGAAGATATCACGGCCAGGAATGGCAACATGACAGAGATGCCCTTTATCCGTGGAGATATGAACGCCTGCAGAATTATTTACCTACTCGCCCAATTCATCAAGGTCGCGTCAAAAGCATAGTCATTGATCTCTCAGAACCGCAAATGTTTCCTCAGAAGGCCACCGGTTCAGAGGCTCAACGCGACACTAAATTTGCTTTAAGTAAAGCAGATGTTCCTGATGTTACCCAGCGTACCTCCGTGTTCGACTCGTCTGTAACGTCAATACAAATTCCAAACGTATCGACGGAGTCGAAACTTATTTCGAATGTTCTGGCGCGGAGTAATATCTTCAAATCCATGGCTAGTTCACGAAACGCAAATAGCGGGACGAAAAAATCACCGGAAAGCTACAGATTAGGAAACAGATTATACTTCAATAGCGGTAATGCACATCGGCAAGAGGAAAGGAATGTCCTTCGCAATTATGAGCGGGACATTGATCGGTCGCAAGATTGGACACCGATCCCCTCGCCTTACTTTGAGTCACCGGATTCTTCTCTCTACCAGGACTCCATCATCTTCCCTTCAATGCCATTTACACAAACTTGAGTTCCCTTTCAATAAATCCGCTACCGTCAATGACATATGAGTTGCCACTCGGTAGATAGAGCACTTGACTCACCGCTCGATCCTCAATAAAAACCATATAATACTGGTCAATACTACGACTTATGAGGTTTGATTATCACTTAATAACTGCCAAAGTGTTCTTATTTCGCTAGGGAGTTATGTTTCATTTTTGCCAATAAAATAGATCGTTGCTATTGAAGGCCGGCGACGAGAGTGCTGTGGCGACTTTAAGTGACATTGGTGTTAGTCTATTCTCCGCAGAAATGCTCCCCGAGCTTTATAATATCAAATATAGCCATATAGGTGTAGTGGAAGGTATGTTGTTTCAAGGTCACTGTTAATGCACTATAATCTTCAAGAACATTCAGGGTTTCCAGGGTAAAGTACATAACTCATTACATTCATTTCTTCACTTATGTGGTCTATATAGCTTACTCGTTACTCATATGCTGCAGTTATATCGCATTGTATCTTGTTCACAACGTTAGCCATTTATAAAGAAGCGTTGTATTTTGGCTGATATGTGTCGAAAATATCAGTCTCAGTCGCCAGAGTGATGCGTGATGGTAGTGAGTGTTTTGGGCATAACACTATGGTTTAAAGACACTTACATTTAAGGGTAGAGGAACACCTCAGAGCATTAAAAGAATTTAATTGTACTCACTGTGAAGATAAAACACTTTTATTAAAATTAAATAAAAAATAATATATGATCAATTTCCTCTTTTACCATTAATCTTGATGAGTAGAGTTGACCATTGATACCAGGAACTTTTATCCCAACTTTTTAACGAATATTATTAGTTTGCGTTAACAAAAAATTATTTCGTTACAAATTTATGTTTGCTTCAACGGTGTGTGTTAATGAAAACATTCCATGCAACATCCCATACATTATTTTATGAATAAAATGTAATTTAGACCAGCACCAGATTGAAAGCCGTCGTTCTCACTCTCAGACTAGCCTATGAACGAATACTCTCAGTCTACCATCGGCCTACCATCTCTCTACCATCAGCTTCCCATCTGTCTACCCTCAGCTTACCATCTGTCTACCTTCTGTCTACGCTTAGCCTTCCTTTTGTCTACTTCTACCAAGGCTTTAGGTACGAATGACATTGGAAACGGAAAACTTATCCGGAGACAAATTTTTTTTCAAAGTTCAAAAGTTCTTCCTCAGACAAAGAAAAGACAATGAATGGTGAGCTTGGATGAGCAATAATGAGCTTCCATCGCTCATTTTATACATTCTTCCTACTTACTAGAATTAAACAGGAATGTGTTTCGAAGAAAGACACTTCATCATCGTTCTATCTTATAATTGAAAATACACTTAAAAGTAACGTGTTTCTTGGTTACCTTCGTCGCAACATTGCCACGTCATGGAAGATCAAAATAACTTACGAGTTACGACATACATTTCACTACATACATGCTTTTTTCCCACGGGTATTAGATTATAGTTAGCCAACTGAAATGAAATTCTCGTGTATAATGAATGATGTATGAAATTAAACATTGAAAGTAATTGACTCCGCAGTTCATGTTGCCATTAAATTAATGCAGCGGGGCGAGGCTGAAATATTGACAAGCGTACATGCTACAGTGAACATCAGAATTTTGACTGTTAATGTGGTATAGAATGAACCTTGAATGATGCTCTATTAAAGTGCATGCTATAATTTGTAAACTAACAGAAAATAATTTATTCCATAAAATTTGAGTGTATTCTTAAATTTAAAGCGCTGAGAATTTAAATATAATAATCTCAGATTAGATAACAGCTCTGATTTTCTGACAAATAGTTTTGTTCTCAAAGACTTCGTAGTGCAGAAAGTATTGTTATATAATTAAAACGTCCCTGGGAGACATTAGAGCGCATATAGCTGGAAAATTTCAGATTATGTGAATATTATTTGGAATCCGGAAATAGTAACTACTTGAAAGTGAAATATGCAAAAGAAAGCAAAGAAAATAACCGAGAACAGCACGATTAAAATATGGTTACTGCTTTGGCAATGCAAACCAATTTCAATTCGAACATAAATTTCATCGCTCGTAATTCTATACACAGAATTATTAGCAACACTTAAACAAACATGAGCGCCCAAGAGGTTTCATCTCGTGCTACCAGTTAATAGTCACTACATAAACCACAGATGCTGAAACATTCACTTTCTTAGCCATCAACAAACATTGACGAACAGAATTTTAAAAATATGAGATATATGTCAATTTTCGAGGTGACGATTTTTTAGGAGTCTGAGTTGAGGATAAGCAATCATTTTTGAATGTAAAGCCATCTGGAGCCCGTCGTGGGCGGGTAGAATTCATGTTTTAAACATGTTGCGCATAAATTTCTTCGGAATACCACAATTCTAATTATATTTAAATGTAATTCGATTGTAATTTAAACTAAAATTAGTCATCGTGTTCGAGGGATTAGCGCGAATCAAATACCAAGGGGCCAGTACGAAAATCTTCAGGTCATGAATGGTCCGCCATTGTAGAATAAATTGACCATAAACATAGTTCAGCTACTGGTGACTGGTAAAATAAAGAGAATTTCTAATTTATTCTTGAAAACCTTTTTTATATAAACTCATAGCAAACAAGTGAATGATACCTACTTTATATTGTCATTGTATTAAAAACGGCTTAATCAAAGGAAAGCTGAGATCGCTTAATTAGTTTTCGGAAAAGCACATAATTTCTTGGCCGATACAAAAATAGAAAAGTCCTCATTTGTCCCTTATGGATGAAGAAATTCTTAGCTTGAACAGAAATAAAGTTGTAGCCAATAATACATGGCTTTCAGGTTTGAATATTGTATTAATAATTTTAATAAACACTGCAAATGTGCGGATGCCACAATGCAGATCTATGAAAAAACCGGTTGCGTGGTTTTCAAAAGACCCAAAACCGTAGGCTAAACCTTTACTGACCTCAACTATTCACTTCGCATTAAAGACTGGTTCATGACACAATTTTTCCCAACCTCCGCATTAAAGTCCTTGATTTTTTCCGCAACATCGGAAGATACCTCGGTGCTGACGACAGCGTCCGAGTTCCGCGTTTTCTGAGAACATGGCGTCGAGAAGCTGATTTTGCATCACTTGAGGAGCGACAGAAACTCTTCCCTGGTGCGCTGGTCGTTCCGGAACTCCCCCAACATTGTGGACGTCGTGGTCTTCGAGTTGACTTTCTGGATGCCACGCATGACCATGCACATGTGCCTGTAGGAAACTTCAGGTCATCACTCAAAGAACTGAATGTCGCCTGATGAATTTCCTGCCACGTCAGGTTGCCTAGCAGATTCTAACGAAGCCTGGGAGCTGTGGTGGTGCATTAGTGAGACTCTCGCATCTAACTACCCGGGTTCGAGTCTCACTCAGGACAGTTCTTCCGGGAAGTCAAGCTCATGGACAACTCAGCCATTCATTCAAAATGAAAATGAGTACCTGACTTGTGCAGGGTGTTGTGTAATGCAAAAAATGGTTCTGGCGGATCAGGGAGTCAGTAATGGTCGTGGAACTACCAGTGGCATTAGTGTCCTGTAAAACTTACCTAACGCCCTCCACGTGCCCTCCACCCCGCCTACGTGACTCACGTGCCCTCCACCCCGCCTACGTGACTCACGTGCCCTCGACCACCACCCCCACGCCGGCAGGTTTGATCGCCTCGACGATGGCGTTAGCGATCTGTTTCGTCAGCCGCTCTTGCACTGAAAAAAAAGTTTGATGTGTACATCAAAGAAACATTATATATATTATTACAAAAGTGTGTCAATTTACTCAGTAAATTTATTCAGTATCAGTAAAATAACTTGCACATCTCGAATGTTCTCCAAAGGATAATACGAAACATTCACTGAAGATCACAAGTTCCAAAGTGCATAAGATCATGCAATTTACGTTACTTTTATTCTTTTATAATAGTACGGTATTGTTTAATAAGTTGTTTAATAGTGACAGATTTAAATGATAATTTGTTTAATAAGATAAAATATAAAACATTTCTTTTCAAAATAATTGACCTTACCTTGCAGCCGACGACTGAACACCTCGACGATCCTGTCCGAGATGGAGACAAATTAGTGACTGCACCAATAAAAAGACAGTAACAACAACATTCAGTGAGAATTCGCGTCTTTTTTAGCAGACGTGCATTTAGAAATGGTTATTTTTGACGGACTAGAGGAGTATTACAGCTACACGCTATAACTAGGTGCAGCTACACAGAGCAACTAGGAGCAGCCACTGTACATGACAGATAGTAACTGTAACTAATTATGGTCTAGTGGCTTCGTGTAGTGGGGTACTAGCTGCTTCAGGGGTCAGTGGCGAGTGGCGGCTACTAACGTGCCCAACTAACGTCCACCTGATTGGCTGGTAATGAAGAACCTTAAGATTCATAAAGTACACAGTTAACAGGTACCTAACTTCGTATAAATTTAAATATCTTATGAAATCAGGTGACTATTTTTTAGCTTCATCATTCTTTAATATAACATTTATCATAGACGGTTATATCAATATCAAGAATTTCCTGTACGTGCATGGCAGGTCCTCTTTACCGTATCCAATAATCCACCCATTCGGTTACTTGCAGTCTTCATGACATTAATTAACAGTCACGTAACCACTAACTAGTAAGCAGGTTAGGAATCCCTAAGTTCCTTCAATAATTTGATAAGTCCATGTTACTCTAACACTTGCTTAGTCACAAATTGTTTACATTCATATTGTCATTGCATTTCAAATCTCATAGAATATTTTTGTCAAGAGAAATCGTCAATATGTAGCGAAATACAGGATGCGTAGTTATTGCTTCATTTTATGAAGCCAGCGAGTTTGTTATTCATTAAAACATATCTTTGTTTGTAGGTAAAACTAAATGCATATTACTGTTGGACTTATAACGATTTTACTAAGTGTTGTATATGTTAGTAACAGTTTGATTAATTCGAAGTACTTTATGTCTAATTTAATTTTAGTGAACTTTTTTACGGTTTTTTTACAGTTATGCCTACACTTCCTAAGCCGACGGTGTTATTATAACAGCCCACGATGGCTGTTAAATTAATCCAGAATAGCCAAAGACTAAAATATTCCAAATAAAATTATTGCAACGAGTATTTAACTACTTTAATTTACCAAGCAATTAACTATTGAGGCTCGTTCTCAAGAAGGGTTGTAATCCACTACTGATTGATTGGTGATGTTCATGAAATCGTGATGGCTTGTACATGAGAAATAAACTTTTATAGAATAATAATTATTTATATAATATTTTTCGCAAAGCCAATCCGTTTGCGCCCTGTAAAGAAAAATACACTAGCGGCTCTAGATGCGATAATACTAGAAGCCAATAATGATTTCGTATGAAAGTTTGGTTGTTGGTAGTGATGTAGGCGACTACTTGTGGCCGCTAGTACTAGAGGTCTTTCGTTGTCCAGTGTACTGTAGATGCACTTCTAGCTTCACTATCTGTTCAGGTCCTGAGTTGGAGCTCTTGGTCTAGTAAAAGCATTCGCTAGCTCAATATTAAATGATGCAGTGATAAGAAGACAGTGCCTTCTTCCTAAAACCCTTCTGATAACCTAAGCCTATTCACTTCTTTTATTGAAACGCAACCTTTAATGGGACACTCGGCATGGTTACTCGAAGTAACTCCAGGCTAAATTTTAAATAATTTGTAATTATGAGATGATAAAATTCATAATATATAGAAAGAGTATTAGACAAATAAGAATTCTTCATTGAATGTAGAAAAGAGGCCTATCAGTCTATAGTCTATACGAAGAACTTTGTACTTGAATGTTATAGTTCAGAGTACCAAGATAGTAGTAGAGAGGCGAGGGTTCGACCCCAGCTCTGTGCGACAGTTTCTGATCAGAATCGGCAAGGAGGCCGGGCAGTTAAGTAGCAAAATTGAAGCAGTGAGTTACGCGTTTGAGACCGCAAAATGCTGTGAATATTCTGCGATGTTAAGAATCGGCGACAGGCCTACGGCCTAATAAATGCTGAAACCGCTATTATATTATATATAGAACTGCGCGAGAGATAAACTTCAGGGCTCACCTGGCATAATTGATCATTGATCTACAGGACTCACAAAGAAAAAAGTTATAGGGCCCACCTGGCGACTTTAGAGAGGCCCAGGACCCGCTTGTTGGGCAGGTACCCGACCGAGACTTTGCCCCAGAAGGGCACGAGGTGATGCTCGCAGATGCTGAACATCTCGATGTCCTTGACGATGACCATGTCGTCGTGATCCTCGTCGAAGATGGCGTCGTTAAGAACTTCTGTAAGTGGGGCCTAGTTAACAATTTCTCGCTGAAAAATTCAGTTTACATGTTTTACATTTGCTATTCATAATTCAGTCTATAGGTATTCAAGATATCTTGAAGATTATATGACTATTGATGGTATCGCATGCATACAGTTAAAAATCACAACCTGCCAGTATACCGTATGCTGAACAACTTAGTTTAATTCTCAGCATTCCCGCGTCAGTGCTACACTGAACTCCACTTATCATCCGCATCAGTGTAGTGAGCTCTATTTCTCTTAGCTCTAAATTGATGGCAATGTTACGTCTTCAAACCATATTTCTCATTTGCACATATATTCATGCGAATCAATATAGTGCAATTACAATTAAAATTTAAGTGCACCTTTTAAATTTTTTCTGGTTTTTAATATCATTCTTCCACAATGTTGTTCTTACGTATTTTTAACTGTGTTCAGAATTTTGGCCTCTACAATAAAATCTTGTTTTCTCTTTTCATTCCTGCACTCCGTCGTACAAACTTCAATAAGAAATATATTTATCGCATCATTTTCGCCTCATTTCGGTGTCTTCATCTCTTTGGTCTCCGCTCTATACTCTTGGTCCCCCTTTTCCCCAAGAAGAGACCCCCACCTGTTGCGGGATCAATATCTCCCCCTGGCTTATATTCCCCAGCCTCTCAGCTTCCACAAGACCACTTATTTTCATTCTCTTCTTCAGCATTTACTGACACGTACAAAAGCAGTGCAGCGACAAATTCTCAATAAATAATACAAACTTATCAACTTTTATATCAGTAAAGGAGCGATTTGTAATCCAGCTTTCATAGCACATTTTATTGAAGATCTAATAATAGACAAAATTAACCTTGTATGGTTTGGTCGTAGCCTTTGGTGAAGAAAAGCATGGCTTTAGCCGCCCTCTCAGGGGTCTTGAGGAGCCCCTGCCTGGTCACGTCTTCGCCCAGGTTGTGGATCACACTTCGGTAGCTCGCGGCCAGCTCTGGGATAAGTTCTTCTCGTGGCAGGGGTGAATGTTCAAGCTCCAGGTCATGGTGGAATGAACACTTTTCGTGACCTGCGAGGGGAAAAAGTGGTAAATAATTAGCAATGATTAATACCTACGTGATTGCCAATGATTACGTAATGACCAATTACTACGAGAGAACCAAAAAGCCGTAACGAACCTGATCGAAAGAAGTCAAAGAAACGCAAAGGGGTGAGCACTATACGTCGTTGAAGAAGGATGCTTTGTATCTAGAGAAAACCTGGCTTTTTATTGAAAAAGTATTTGTTGCTAATAATTAAGTCTTTTTGAGCAAAAAAGTGCCAAAGTTCTGAAAGTAACCATTTTTGTAATCGAAGAAACTGACTGGAAGTAAGAACATGTGCAATCTTCGTTGCGGTTAAAAATGCTTTTTGAAGGAGGAAAACTATTTTTGTGAAAGAGAAATGCTTATGCTGGAAGAAAGGACTTTTATTTTATTGAAGAAAAAATACTTTTTGGAAGGAAAAGTCTTCGTGGTCAAAGACGAAAATTGTTTTAGGGGAAAAAGGGCAATGAAGAGTTTGCGGCAATGAAATTTAGCACTTTTATTGAAAAAAATTCTTGAGGCGAATCACAAACACCTTGTTGTAAATGAAAAATATTTTTTTGTGAAAAACGTACTCCTTGAGATGAACGAATTTCCCATTATAAAAGAAGAGTTTATTGAGTTGAAAGAATAAATTTTACGATAAAATATGAGCCTTTTGTTGTTAAAAGTATTTTGTTGTTGTTGCTGTTTAGTTGGAAATAAAACTTTTTGCGAGAAAGTTCATTCATGATGAAGGAAGAACTCAAGAATCTTTGGTATTAATGAGAACCTCAGAACCCGAGTGACTAAATGAAGTCATCTTGTTTACAATAATATCAGGAATAGAACTAATCCTTGCCATGACGACCACGGAAAAAGTTGCAGGTGAGCAAAATTTTTAATGCGTATATTCAAATGCACAGTTGTGTATTATTTAAAAACACGGAAAACAGTGATCGAAGTTCTACGACGCATTTAAGATGACATTAATGGCTGAGTAAGAATTCCTATTCATATAAATAAAAACTTTCGAAAAGCCATGCTACATACCTGCAATTCCTTTAAGATATGGCGGTGAAAATTTACTAAAATTGCTAAGCTATTCAATATTTAGTTTTTTTTCGTTACTAATTGCAGACTTACTTGTTCGTTCAATATAATAGGACATTTACAAGAAATAAAACTTTACACTTCACTTTCCTCGATGCGAAAACAGCATTCACGGCCGAAATATATTTCATGAAATCAAAAAACCATTCTTCGCCTGTGGTTTTGAGTAGTGATAAGTTTTGAGTTAGCAGTCAAGAATTCTATTTGATTTTACTTGAGCTACCGGCGGATAATGAATTAAATCTTGTGCATCGAGTGCGATCTCAGATCATGACACTTCATAGGATCATAAACAGTCAACGTTTCACTCGTCGCTAATTCCAATTGGAAAAATTGACCCGAAAATTGAAACGCATTAACAAAGATGATAAGAAATTGATTTAGCAGATAACTACCAATCCAGTTCAGAACAATATATTTTGCAATGCATTTGTCCATAAAATACCATATACAAATAGCGAAAAATACCATTTACAACATCAATATACGTTCCTTAATTAAATAGCCGAAATGAGTCTCACCGATGGAAGTGGAGGAGCGACGTCGTCCGAGATCCATCTCGCGTGGAGGCTTAAGCAGCTCTGCGTCAACCTGTTGCTGGACGCCCAGACTACGCTATTTCTGGACCCGCGCTACACTAGCTACTTCTGTATCCCTTTGCACCATTCGTGATTTGGTAAAATCAGATGAACACTAAATATATCCTGAAATGCCAAAATTTGAAGTCAAAGTAATTTTTCATAATTATATACATTTACGATTGTTATAGGCGCTGAAATTACAAAATTTCAATGTATTTTCAATGTTTTCAAAGTGTGGCAGAGAGCCACTGCATTCAGACGTGTCGTTTTGGTGCCTGAGGACGCCAAGAGAGCAGCTTTAGAGCGCCTCTGCCCCGAATACTCATGCTGCCGAGAACTCGGGGTTGTCCTTATAAGGAGTAAGACTAAATTATGTACTCTTTTAGGCCGTGGTGGTAACAGGAACACGAATGCAGAACATTGAGTTTTTGTTTCATTTCTAACAATGATATTGTATTTTGATGCAAATTTATGAATAGAGCCATGGTATATGGTACTCTCTTAGGCTGTGGTGGTAACAGGAACATGAATGCAGAACATTGAGTTCTGGCTTCATTTCCAACAATGATATTGTATTTTGATGCAAATTTGTGAATAGAGCTTCAGTATCTTTAAATATTACGTATAATTACGGACAGTGTGCCTAAGCCCTTAAATTAATTATCATCTTCAAGTTAATATGCACAGGCTGTATGATTATTTATGTAAAATCTTATATATTAAGGCCAAAATATCTTGAACTCGTAAATTTTTTAAAAAGTATTTTAGCTCCAATAGATGAACAAAATATTGTCTACAGGTTCAAGTAAATACACTAAGGGGGCTGAAGGCTCCTTAAAATAGGCCTAGTGCTCACCACATGATCTTATTATAGGTTATAAAACCTTTATAGTTTACTCATTACCTTCTCATGAAATCGAAACAACGGAATGCTTATCACTTCCTCAGAGTATTCAATGGAATGCCACAGCCCACAGTATCAAATAACTGTCGCATAAAACCTTGAATCTCATTTATCAATACCATATATAGTCAAATTAACCTCATCTCTACACAGTTCATTAAAACAACGAAAAAATATCTAACGGGTCTCAAGAGGCTCGATGACGGAAATGGAAATTCCAAGGCATGAAATCCTTTTTTTTATATCCCAAGGATGAAATCCTTACATATTTGGAGACCTTAATTATAAGGATTTTTTATCTTATGCCCAATGCAATGGTGTTCAATATACCTGCCACCCTGGCAACCAGGATCAGCGAATATATCTAAACATTTTACTGATGTTTTCTGAATTGACGCAATTTATAGTTCTTATGTCAACATTTGATTTTTTTACATAAACAGCTCATCTGTGTGGCCCACACTGATAGAAATAATTGGTGCAATTAGCTGTACCCTGCGGCCGAATCCTTGCAGCGCCGAGCGAGAACAAAGAGGTTGGAGGTGCGCATGCCTGCAACAGCTGCACGACGCGTCTGGTCGACCTCAATCTGGAGAACTATTATGCATTTACTTGCAGGTTTCTTGCTTACGCTCACAAAATTTATGTCACCGAATAATGAGCCGTAATTTATAGCCTAGTTGCTACGGATCTATTATTTGAAATGTTGATACATTAATTATAAATAGAGTACAAAAGCACACGACGCGTCTGATCGACCTCAATCTGGAGAACTATTATGCATTTACTTGCAGGTTTGTTCTTATGTCAACATTTGATTTTTTTTACATAAACAGCTCATCTGTGTGGCCCACACTGATAGAAATAATTGGTGCAATTAGCTGTACCCTGCGGCCGAATCCTTGCAGCGCCGAGCGAGAACAAAGAGGTTGGAGGTGCGCATGCCTGCAACAGCTGCACGACGCGTCTGGTCGACCTCAATCTGGAGAACTATTATGCATTTACTTGCAGGTTTCTTGCTTACGCTCACAAAATTTATGTCACCGAATCATGAGTCGTAATTTATTTTCTAGTGGCTTCGGATCTGTTATTTTAATGTTGATACATTAATTATAAATAGAGTACAAAAGCACACGACGCGTCTGATCGACCTCAATCTGGAGAACTATTATGCATTTACTTGCAGGTTTCTTGCTTACGCTCACAAAATTTATGTCACCGAATCATGAGTCGTAATTTATAGCCTAGTTGCTACGGATCTATTATCTAAAATGTTGATACTTTAATTATAAATAAAGGATCAAAGCAGCCAGTATTCATGAATATTTGTCGATATTAGTCACTTGAGAATGATCGCTTTTAAGTCTCACTTGTTGACTCATCTCAGACCTTGGTGATAATGGCAGCAGTTGCGCACCGTAGAACCGTAAAATAAATGCAAGTTCCCTTATTTTATCAACACGAGAATACAAACACATGCAAGTTAACAAGATAATTCTCTTGATTAAAAATAACTCTTGCAAAACAGCTGTGATTCCACCACACTCATCACTTTTTCACTGATCGCATTTCTATCTCGCTTTACATGAGCTGTGATCGCGTGATTAGATAAGGTCTTCTATCATGTAACAAGCCAGAGAAGACACGGCGTATCGCACGAGGCATTTTTTGTTTGTTTGTAAAACTTGGATGGTATTGCCTGTAAATTAGAGGTCGATAACTACAAAAAATATTCTAGAAATGCACTCGCGAGCTATTCGAACGACTTTGAGAACTTTTTTCTACTGAACAATTCCTCTTTTGCAGCAGGAAACAAAATCAAAATGAATTAATCTAGATTCTAGAACTAACATATGTTGTTCCCCGTCTCCCCTGTTCCCTGTCTGGTGAGATCAGCTAATTTTTGTGAATAGAAATCAAACCAAAAAAATTCTTGGGCCAGCAAGGAATGTAATTGTAACGAATAAAACTCGAATCAAAACGTTTCTGTTGACAGAGAACTTACTCTAGCTGCGATTCAACGACGTAAATACGGTAACAAATATTTATATAGTATCGGAATTAATGAAGGCGAAGAGTGGAGCACGGAAAGATGCTTGACAGGTTGACTTTCAGGAAGAGTGTTATTATGATCTGCCTTGGGCTTACCCAGACTTTCTGATAAGTTATTGGCGTAAAACCCATGGTCATGCAAGTGTGAAAACATCTCATCTAATCCTTGATAATATAATTGTTTACTTAATGTCGTCGGATTTCTGGCATTTAAATTATCTTAATTTTCTCATTCTCAACCATGAATTAAATAAAAAAATGTAATTTACGCCGTAGATTTACGAACTGAGAATGGATAAATATTTACGTGAATAATTTTGTTCATTCTTCAGATAAAGCTCTGAAATCAATGAAAATTTCCGTAAGAGGTGTCGATGATTATTATAAAAGGAGGATGAATTTTACATCAAAATTATTATGCGCATTCACAAATAATTTGGCAGATGCGATTCAGAAGCTCAGTCAGATTTAACCCGTAAATGATCCGTCGGCTATTATCAATAATGGGTTTGCCAGATGGAAACTAGAATTCATTTGCCAGTTATTATCCAGATGGGATGGGCCTTTTTATCGAGAGCACAAGGTGCATAGATGTGCTTAACCCTCAAATGCACCTCAACCCTCACCGTAGATGTGCTCAACCCTCATTCACCATACAAACCAAATTGTTCCTATAAATGCTAAGATAATCAATCTACTCGCCTGCAACACTTCTTGCATCAAGTACGATACGTACGTACCAAGAGTTTCGTTTGTTCGTTCATGGTGACAAGACGTGTGGTGCTGTCGCTCAATAACCAAAGTTCACGGTGTAGTAGCTTAACCTGAAATCCGGTGCAAATCTAAAAGAAATAGTGCTTCCCGAAAAAGTGTGAAGCATATACAAAGGTATGGACCGTACGGCCAAATCATCGTCCGGCCCTGGCCTGACAGAAGACCTCTTCTGTGAAGCAGTGATAGTCACATCTGATTTTGCCGGCATCCCTTTCGACTCGCCAGTGATAGGAAGACCTGCCAAAATCAAGAAGCCCAGACTTCACGGTCACGCCAAACACGTTCTCTCATCAACTTCTTCAGAAACTGCCTCGACCCACACCAACCAGTTTGAAACACTGCCTGCCAGTCACACCTCTATAACCTTTCTGCTGCTACAAGAAGATAAAAAAGTCCAACAGTTCAACTTCTACGCCCAAATCTCCAAAACATGGCCAGCATTGCAGTTCATCAAACCCAATACTTAGCCGAATTTCAAAGGGCACCCTAATCACAAGGGAAGCCGACACACAACGCCGACAACCAATGGGGTCGCCTGCCGAAGACCACCACTGCCCTAGATGTAATAGACCATCATGATTCCTGCCTTCCGGAACGTAGCCTTCAACACTTCAAGCTGTCCGTATCTAGGCCGTGGATCGAATCAGCCCTCGATCGAACGGCCACTTGTCGGAGGACGATAAATTTTGAAACAGAACTATGCTATCTGAAACCTAACCTCCGAAGCGGCGAACGTAAAATTACGTAATTTAACGATGCCCGGAAGTCAGATTCGATCCGCGGCCTGGTGGTGCACGGCAAGTTCTATGCGAGGCCGGAGGAAGACAAAGCCGAGTGATTCACGGCAGATTGGTGGATGTCCGGAGAGATCCAAGGCGTTCGATTCAGGGCTTATTGGTGCACAAAATTAGTGGTGCACGGCTGCGCTCCCCAACCAATGCTGCTCATCATGTAAGGGCCCCCATCCAGCATCCTCTCCTCGATGTCCTTTCTGCAAAAAAAGCCATGGTAATCTCCTCCCGTGTGACATCTAGAGTTCTCTCTCGTGAGATGACTGCAAAGAAGTACGCAGCTCTGTATCTACCTACCAACAAAAACCCACCTTAGCCAACCTTCTTCAAGAAACACAATGCATACCAGTGATATACCAGGGACCAATGTCATACCTCTACTAGAGCATCTACAAAACAGGGCTCCAAACCCAACGCGACATACAAACTCGCTGCGGCTAGCCTCCTACGCAGCATCCGTATTAACACCAGGGCAACCCTGTCCCTCCTCCTCCTCCTCCTTGAAAGCCTCCTCGCGTAAAAGTAAAAACCACGGCTCTCCTGCCCCATTGCACCTGTCTGAAGAATACAAACGTATCCTTAGAGGGGAACTCTGGTCTGAAGCTACATATCTT